AATAAAACGATCGCCGTCGATAGCTCTGAGAGATTGTGACAGAGTTCAATGACAAAAGATATCAATTATTTGAACATCCGAGGTAAAAATGCGTTTCTCTCCACCAATGAACCACTGAAGCTGTTACTGTACTTGTTTTGGGTCAGTGAATGTCACGTTGTCAATGTGTTAGACATGACAACTTAGCTATAATGACGGTTGATCAAATTAGATTTCCATCAAGTTTATTTCGGATGCGTGGAACTAAAAAGAAAACAGCACCGAGATACGATGTGGAAAGCTGAAAAACGTCAACGACTTACCATTAAGAAGATGCGGATTATACGCTCCACTTGGATGTGCTGCTGCCATCGACATGTTGTTAGGTGTTTGACCAGGTGCATTGGGTTGTATATATCCTGGCACGTACGGCGGAGGTGTATACGAGCTAGGACCAACTGGCATCTGGGTCTGACTGTTTAACATCGGATGAGGTGAAGTACCTCCTCCCAACCGCGTTGAGACCGCATTCTGCTGAGCTTGGGTCAGGGCACCAGGGAGATGGCTTGCACCAATAGTCGGCGGTTGCGGTGGGGTTGGTTGTTGCCCGGTCGCAAACATGGGACGAAGCTGAGCATTAGTCAAAAGAGATGATGAAGACTGCAATTGTGCCACGCTAACACTATTTGGAGGGTAACCGTTCTGCGATGCACTCCTCTGATCGACGTAGATGTTTGGTGTCACCGAAAGCAATGGTTTTGGGCGAATCGTGGGGGCTACAGTTGTATTGTGTGAAGCAAAGGTTGGAGCGCTCATTCCCACAGACGATGAGGCAGAGCCAGCCAGAGAACCGACTGGAAGCGACTGAGCTTGCTGAGGCACAGATGCATGCATGCCTGTAGGGAGAACAGATTTCACAGGTCCAGTAGAACGCATCCCACCAGTTGAAAGCGCAGCATCAAGATTATATGTGCCACTTAAAACTTCAGAGCCAGATAGCTCTGAGAAATCGTTTCGTAATGCAGCAGCGGAAACTAACGGAGCGGATGATTCCACAGTAGATGTTGTATGTGTATTTGTTGATGAGTGATGTGCGGTGGTGGTTGGTTGCTGGAATGCTGAAGGCTGAAACGCAACCGCGTTAGGATTTAGTCCACTTGGCTGCATAGGCCACCCGGGTGTCATTCCGGCGTGAAGCGACTCTGGAACACGGAACGAAGGTTTGGCCGTAACAGTGGAAATCTGGCTCGATGAAACACCAATAGATGCATTCAGAGACACACTAGGATTCAGGTCGACAGATTCCAAAGGAAAACCGGGAGTCTTGGGAAATACGGAAGCGGCATTCGGTGTACCAGACTTCAGATCGGAAGTCAACCACTCAGATTGTTGATCGGGTCGGAAACGAGGTTGAACTCCAGTAGGACGAAAATCAGATTCTCGAAGTTCAGGTGAAGTGGCACGCTTCGTGGGTGTCAAAAGCAGGCTTTCACCTAGCACCGTTGTTGTCGGCCGAGATAATCCAGTAGC